TAATTTAAATTTTTTATCTAACCGATTGATAAAATTTGATAAATTTATTTCTGGTTTATAAGCGATATTTATTTTTAAAAATTTGATTTAAATTTAATTTTTTTAAAAAAAAACTAAAATTTTGAGAGATTATATACCTGTTGAGCGAACTGCTTCTTTATATGTGGGTGGAATATTCCATATCCCAGGAAGAGTTTCTAAAACTTCTTGCTGATTTGTGGGAATTCTGCCAGAATAGGTTCTAAAAAGTCTATCAGATCTTAGTCTAGACATCGCTACGTTGAAAAGATAATGATAAAGATTATTTGTAAAAGTATTTAATTTTTTTGAGAATTTTAAAAATAGTACGAAATTCAAATTGTCTTAGATGTATTTTTTTGAGAATCTTATACTAAAAAAATTTCTTATCACAATAATCATAATCAGACTGCATATAGCAATTGTTTGTAAATATTTATTTGATAGATATGCATTATTTTATTATTGATATGTTTTTAAAAAAAAGATTCTTTTAATTTTTCATTTTCGGTTAAATTAATAATTAATATCCAGTTTTATATGCTCTATCAGATAATTAGAACAGATTTTCAAAATTTTGGATACAAGCAATTTTCAACATTATACATGCCTTGAGCATTTTTTATTTTTGTTGTAGATTTCAGATAAACAAATAAATCAATTATAATAATGATTTGATAATAGAACAGATCTTCAGAATTTTATCTAATTTAAGATTGATTACAAATTGTAACTCATCAAACAGATCTACAGAATTTTATATAATTTAGAATATAGATTTAATTTTTTTAAGAATTTTTGAAAATAGTACAAAATTTGAATTGTTTAGATGCATTTTTTTGAGAATCTTATACTAAAAAAATTTCTTATCACAATCATCATAATTAGACTACATATGGTAATTGTTTTGTAAATAATTATTTGATAGATATATATTATTAAATTCTTTAAAAGTAAACAATTAACTGATTGGTATTTTCAAAAAAAAATTCTTTTTAGTTTTATTTTTGGCTGAATTAATAATCAGAACAGATCTTCAGAATTTTGTATAATTTAGAATATAGCAATTTCTAACATTATACATGCTTTGAGCATTTTTTATTTTTGTTGCAGATTCTGATATAACAAAATAAACCAATTATTTAATAAAGATTTAATAATGGAACAGATCTTCGGAATTTTTTCTAAATTTAGAATTGATGACAAATTATGACTCATCATTAAAAAAAATTAAATTAATAATCTTTATCTATTCTTATGTAATTTGTAAAATAATTTTTTTGGGGAATTATTATTTTTGAACCAAATAAAAAGATTAAAATAGTTTATCCAAAATGATTATTTAAGTATCTAGATTTTATCAGATAAAATTCAAAAAAATGACAACAAAGACAACAAAAACCAAAATCTTATCTGCATATCAATATTACCAAAAAAAGAAAATAAAATGTACTCAACAACAACCATGTCTCAATTGTACAAAATATAATGTTGAATGTATCACATCTGCAAAAACAAAGAAGTAAGATCCTCAGCTACAACCAAGAAAGCAATATTTAAATATTAAAAATATTTTAAATCGATAATTTTAAATGAAAACTTATAGCTCTTATTTTTGCATTTTTCAAATGAACCAAATATAATAGAAGTGGTTCTTGATTATTTGAATTTAAAATAATAATATAATAAATAAAAATAAAATTTTTGAAATAACTTGTTTAAGTTGCTCTTGAAAATTAATATCTGCAATCATTTTGCAAATTAGTTCAATTTCAAATCAATTATATTTCAAATTAGTAAATTAATTTCAATTATTATATATTATATTTGTATGAATTTACTAAATCTGTAAAAAATTATATAAATACTAGATTTAGGCAAATATTTCTTTAAAATAAATAAAAATAACATATCAAAAACTAAAAGTATTTGATTCACATGTTGAGTATGAATATCAGTTTTTAATAAAAAAAAATAAAAATGTGAAAGAATTTTGAATTACATTATCTGATCAATATGAATATAAATATTCTGAATTTTTAGCAGATCTTTTACTAAATAAAACTAATAAGCCACTTTTAAATAAGAATGAATTGAAAGATTTAATAAAAAGTGGGATCAAGATCTATTTTGAATTAAAAATTCTTCCAGAATTAGAAAGAATTAAATTTCTAAAAATAAATATCGCTTATAAACCAGAAATAAATTTATCAAATTTTATCAATCGGTTAGATAAAAAATTTAAATTA